CCATCTCCCCTCATTACTAGTATCCATATTGTGTTAGGGGGCGCCGGGGCCAGCAGACCACCCTGCGGACAAACAAACAAGGTTTGGAAAAAAACAACATAAACTGAGAAGAGCATGTACATAGATTATATGATCATGACCTGGTAATGCATCGCTCGCGCGTAAGAGGAGGGGCTGGTGCCGTGCTGTCGCGCTGTCTTCACTTTTCGAAGCCGTCAAAGAAGTGGAGGGGAAGAGGAAAGTAAAGGAAGGAAGGGTGGGCGCGGTCACAAGTGTCGCGCGGGGCGCGTGTGAGTGGGCGCCGGTGAGCGCCGCCCCAGCTCCGGCCAGCAGAAGCCCGGCTGCTTCATTAACTTGGCTCTAAATGTTAATGGACTTCTGGTGGCGCGGGCGCTCGGGCCGGGCGCCCGGCGCGGTGGGCCGAGCAGCCCGAATCACGGCACGGCGGGTGTTTTTGCTCCGAGCCGAGTCTGCAGCGCGGGCGCGGGAGCTTCAAACCGGGCAAGAACGAGGTCGTGCTGTGGGACCGCCTGCTACTCTCTACTACCGGCTGCTATGTCGGCTGCCGCCCCCTACACCCTTCTCTATTACGTTTCTTCGCCGCCAAGTCCAGTACCACCTTCTTAATTCTAAACTGTATGCCAAATTACAGCAGGCCAAAATTACGCAGTGTTTGAAAATAATGCCAAAGCATTATTTCAAGCAAAAATGGCAACCGACTTCACAGTGCTGAAGCGTAGGAGTAGGAGGCGAAGCCCACAATCCCCTCAGCCAGCCCACCATACTACTCCTGCTACCTCCCGAGCCGCTCAGCTCCTCCCTCATTCTTGTCACGTGACGCACGGTCGCACTATACATATATAGAGTTTTATAAAGCCCCGTACTATGTTTTGGTTTCACTGCACTGCATTCGGGCGTGTGGTTCGTTCCTACTCGTAGATTGAGTGAGCGTGTGTATGTGTGTAGGATCTGATCAGTTTTTGGCTCTGTTCTAAGCCCTCCCATTACTATCACCGCCTATCACTACGTGCGCACTAGGTTTGACCTCCCCTCCCTATCTGCGCCCTTCCCATTACAGCGCCCCTATCGCGTTCTGGGCGTCCTTCCTCCGTCCCTGGAGACAACCATACCTCACGGGGATTGCGGCCGGGACCATCCACCACGTCCCACAAGGCAGAGAGAAAATTTAAGCTGCGCGGTTTCCATTCCAGCAAGGTTTTTTCTGTCTACCATTTCGGGGTGTGCGGGCTTACCCTTTTACTGAATGCGATCGATGTTCCTCTGAATGCATGCACTTGCGGTGCAGCCGGCCCCTTTCTTGGTGCTGGCGCGAGTGTGTGAGGCAAGGTTGGACGAGCGGGTGATGGCGGAGGCTTTTAGTGGAGCGGGGGCCGTGAGTGGCACTGTAGTATGCCGGGGACGATGAGAGTGTCGCATTTTCCTCCTTTATTTTTCTTTATTATTATTGAGCACGAAATAAAAAAAAAGTTGCTCTGGTTTTTTGTTTGTTTGTTTCTGGTCGCATTGTCAAAAGCTGGTCGAATTGCAGCCTTTCCTCTCCTGCCACAGGGGCTGCGCCGGCTGCGCGCGCCGGGCTGAGCCGAGTCCTGGCCGCCTCCGCTATGCGGCTGGGCGCGCTCTGCCGCCTGGCCCTGCTGATCGCCGCCGCACTGACCTCGGCGAGCGGCCTGCCGGATGTCATCAGGATCGGTGAGTGTTGCTCATCACACTCAACTACAAAGTAGCGAGGAACATCGCGATGCGATTTATTCCTACCGTTCTTGAATACAGGGTGGGTGATCCGCGCTGTAGTTTTTTTTCTGCTTATACTGTGCCGGATTCATGCGTGCGGTGCGGGCGGGCTTGCCTATCGTCGTTCGCCATGGCGCCTTACGGCCCCCTGCGAGTATGCAACCCGTCCGCACGCATGAATGCGGTACAGTATAAGCAGAAAAAAAAAAACACGGCGAGGATCACCCACCTTGTATGGGTAACAGTTCTTTACACTGCTGTTGCGAATGAACGAATAGGCATTTTTTCTATTCCAGAAAATTACCAATTTGCCCATCCCTCAAGGGCGTACAATAGATCTTTCCCCGCATACTCCTAACCTGAATCAAATTGTGGATATTTTGTCGCACATACACCAGTTTGAATTAATTTGACCGTCCACTCAGAAAATGTGGTCTTTGAATCAGCGGAATAAGTCCTTTGGCCATGTTCAAAGGAATTTGCAGCTTTCTGTAAAAGAGAAGAATATTACAACGAAAGAAAGTCAGTCCTTAGAACACGGAAAAAACTAGTTAGCCAAAATAGCTAATGTATTCACCAAAATGGCCTTAGATCACATTATTAGTTTGCTAATTCTTTTTTTGGTTCATTAGCTCATAATTATCTAGGTGAGCTAATATTCTAATCTAAGGCCGTATTAGCAAATTCATTAGCTAATTGAGCTAATTCTTTTTTTCTGTGAACAAAGAAAAATCCCCAACGTTGCACGTTGCAGCCAGTACAAATCCCTTAAATTTCACAATTTCATTCGACTTGGTTCAAAGGAATCCCGTCGATTCAAAGAACACATTTGGCCTGCAAGTGGCCTTGCAAATCATGGGGTGCGAATTCGCGCACTTGGAGAATCTCTAGCATGGATAAAGGTTCGCGTTCATTTCTAGGAGTATACCTAGTTTGCCGGGTAACGTTTTGAACCGACTGTATGTTATTACGAGTAACTCATAATTCCAACTCATTTTGGTATATGTAGTCTCCGTGCTTCGCTGCCTGCGGCCCAGCGGCCTTGGTGTGCAAGCTCGTGGCTCCGCAGCCTAGCTGGCAAGCACGCTCAGCTGGTCATGAAGGCCCGAGCTGACTCATGTCGGATCGCCGCATGCCGCATTGCTGCTGACAGCAGGGCGCACTGCGCACCCCTACCAAAGAAAATTATCGTGATCTTTTCCATTTTTAAAACCTACGCCCTTTTGGCTAAAACGCGACCGCATATATCATAGCTCACTTTCCTGCTCCTCAGCACTAGAGTTGACCGCAGTTCAAGGCAGTTCTTCGACCGCATATCTGTTTTTGGTAAGAGCAACATTGTTGTGAACAGGTGGACTGTTCCACCCGGCGGACGACACGCAGGAGGTGGCCTTCCGCTACGCCGTGGAGAGGATCAACGCTGATCGTACGTTGCTGCCTCGTGCCCGGCTCTCGGGGCAGATCGAGAAGATCTCCCCGCAGGACTCGTTCCGCGCTTCCAAAAGCGGTGAGTAGTTCGTGCACCAGCAGTCACGTGATGCGGTGATCGAAGGGACTCAATTGTACAAGATTGTGAAGTGCACCCTAGCTAGAAATAGTTCATCAAAGAGATGTGAAATACCATCATCTCTGGATTTAATATCACAGTGAAAAACAACGTCGTAGATTTACAATACGTTTTGTAATTTATGATTGCAAAAGAGTTGTTAATTTTTGACCACTAGCTTTTGTTTGTCAATGAACTCCACGAAACAGTGCTCGTAATTTTACCAAACCCCTCATGAAAGTTTTTTTTTGTAAAACCTACAGCTATTTTGCTCAGTAAATACATCAAACTTCCTGCCTTAAACTCTGCCCCTTGCCCTTGCGTCAACGGCCGTAAATGATCCATGTACAAGCATTGTTTGGTTTGAGAAATATTTCGGGCGGTGTTGCAGGCAGACCAGACAGCGAAGACTTGTGACAGACGGCGCCTTTCTATCTCTCTCCTTTCCCTTTGCGCCCCGCGCTCCAGTTATGGATAAGTTTTTGCAACTCTGGTGGAAGTTTCCCGTCGAGACCGTGCGGTCCGGTCCGCTGCTCATGGGGCCCGGACCTGGCCAGGTGCTGGAGTGAAGCCGCAACACATTTGCCCCCGCCCCACGTCAACGGCAGCGCTCTGCTCAGGGAGCTCGTCTACCGCGGGAGTCCCCTGTCTTTTTCACGCGGTATAAGAGAAGATTTTAACTTCCATAGTTTTTCTCCTCAGGAGTTGGGCTTCGTTATGTAAAATAAAAACACAAATATTTCGAAAGTTATATACTTACGATGGAAAGAATGAGAAATTGGCATTAGAGAGATGAGCACGTCGGAACAAACACTCGTCTCCAGCGAGCCAGTTTGGGCTCATGCGAGGCTCCTGCTTTGAGGTGGTTCGCAATTTTTCGCATCTTACAGCCAGTACCACAATGAGCTCAAAATCTCTATTTTAACCGATAATTTCCGCAGTACTCGTGCCCTGTAATTGGATGTCGTGTTATCCAGAAGGGCACATTTCGAAAGGCGTTCAGGCGTTCATGTTTCCTTCAGGGTTGCCCCGTGGCGACTTTGTCACATACCTTTGTTCTCGCAGTGCCCTTGAGGTGCCCTCTCTACGTGATCCTGTCCGACCCCCAGGGCCAGGCCACCAGGACGGGGCTCTCCCTCCGGGCCTCGAGGTCACGGTGTAACTTGATTAGTCGGACAAAAGGACAAAGGGGGCTCTCTTTCGCTTCTTCTTGGGTTATAACTTCATTCCAGCACTGTTTCATCTTCTTCTAATGAAATATATTTTCTTTACAGCAATACTTTCTTTTTCTTTCGCCGAGGCGGTTCTTCCTTGATACTTGAGTCGACTTCGTGCTGATTTCTAAAGTGACTCTTAACTTTGCTGCTCCCCAGTGTGCCACCTGCTGCAGTCTGGCGTCGCCGCCATCTTCGGGCCACAGTCGGGGCAGACAGCCAGCCATGTGCAGTCCATCTGTGACACGATGGAGGTGCCGCACTTGGAGACGCGATGGGACTTCCGCATCCGGCGGGAGTCATGCCTGGTCAACCTGTACCCGCACCCCAGCGCTCTGTCCAAGGTAACGGATGGGGCGGATTAAGGCGGCCGAACTGCCAGCCGACCATTAGGGCCGGCGGCACCGCGAAATGGATTATGTGTCTGCCAAAAAACTTCCTACCAAACAAAAGAAAAAACTGCAAAGCACGAAATTGCCCCGGGAATACCGAAGTTATTTCTTTTTAACGAGGAAAGTAAAGTAGGATGTTCTTCTCTTAGGCGTACGTGGACATTGTCCGCGCATGGGGCTGGCGGACCTTCACCATCATCTATGAGAACAACGAGGGCCTGGTGCGCATCCAAGACCTGCTCAAGGCGCACGGGCCGTCCGAGTTCCCCATCGCCGTGCGGCAGCTCGGCGACGGCAACGACTACCGGTGAGCCCGGCGCCAGAACAGACAGAAAGAAGAAACACTTGTCAGCAAATATTACAATCCCGGATGTCCCCCGTCTGGACATAATAAAGTTCGCGTCAGTAGAAATAATAAGAATAATACTATGCTCATATATTTTCAAATCTTGGGCGAAAAGTATGGTCTGGGCTAGGGGCGGTGGCAGGGAGGGCACCTGTGCCCGTGCAAGGGCGGCCGAGACTCGCAACCGGTACAAAGTCGGACTGTCCGGGGCGCTATGGAAGGCAGTGCTGGGAGGGTGCGCGCTGAGCACCGCCTCGGCTGTCCGCCGGGTCCGGCCCGGAAATGCCGCGGCGGAAGCCGGAAGAGTGCCGTAAAGTGCTGCAACCTCGTGGCCCGTGCTTACCCGCCAAGCGTGAGACAAGTCCGAGACAAGCCGTAGACTAAGGCGGAGACTGGGTGGAGATGGAGACTATGGGCGGAGACTGGGCGCAAGCAGGAGGGCCCCATGGGTGCGTGCGCGAGACAACTGGCCGAGCAATGACCGGGGCGGGGCTGAGAGCAGCGGCGTCCTCCAGGTGGATGAGGCCGGGTCCTAAATCTTGCACGGCGGCGGACCTCGTTTGCTGCTGCCCGCAGCAGTGCTGTTGGTGGAGTGGAAAAGAGGGGGGTGGAGGGTTAGTGCTGCCGCCCACAAAACCCAAAGGGGAGGGAGAGGAGGGGGCTGTTGCTCCCCCAGGCGCTGTTAGACAACCGGACAAACAAACCGATTTGGGCCAGCGTGGGTCGGGCAGGCGCCGCCGGACGGCAGCATCACGCCGCTGGTGCCTCCGATCGACCGGAGGAGATGCCCTGCCAGCGCTGACCTGTGACCCGCGTTCGGGAAGGGACAGTGTTGGCGCCAACAAGTGTCCCTGGTCAGTCCGTGTGGGTATTACAACTGTTCTCACCGGCGCTGATGACTGCTGCCCCGATCGCCCCCCCCCCCCTTCCCCTCCTTTTCCAGCTTCACTCTCTTTACTCATGGACACTGCCAACAAATGTCCGTCGTCGTCAATAGGATGGGTTTCGTCGCCCCACCCCGCCGTTGGCTCGCTTCCAAATGGCCACGAGACCGAGCGTGGCCGAGCGTGGCCGGTATCGATTTGCCGAGTCCCGGCCGTGCATTGCGGGAGGCATGCTCCGGCATGCCTCAGCGGGACACTCGATGTCATTGCACTGGGACTGAGGGCAGACGGCCTGATGCACATCGGCGGGGCGCCGAATAGCAGCCTGCGGGCTGTCCGAGAAAGGGTGACACATGAGTTGGAAATCTGATTGATAATTTCGTCCGACATCCGTGAGACTGAGAAGAATCAAGCTCTCCATTCCATGGCGTCAAAAAGTCGTAGGGTACAGACATCACTACAGAAATGGGGGAACTCTACACTGTGACCATTTACTTCTGGTCGAAGTAAATGTACTTCTCGCCAAAAATACTGTAAATACACAAAGATATTCTTCATTGTGAGAGGCAATGTCGGATGATAAGGGTCCATCATACTGCTGCTGAACTCGGATCTGCAACCAATTCCATCCAGCCCTACACCGCCGGAAGACTGCTTGCTGTGTCGTACACGTACACACAAATAATATTCATCTGCTCTCAGCTTCCAGTACCACTTTGCCTTTATGGGCCCAACAGCCTTGGCCCGGGCCAGGCGCAACCCACCTTTGCACAATCCGATGTAATAAAAATGCTGTCGCCGACCTGTCCTCACTGAGGCCGGGGC